AGTTTTTGTCTTCTTTATATTCTATCTTTATATTCTATTCGAGGATTGGTTGCTTTGAGAAAATGTCCATCTTGGCGGTGAATTGAACTTACCAAGTTTTGATTGGAAAAGAGTATTATACAAATTATGAAACGAGTATTCTTTCCATATTCAAGGATAACACTTTGCAGCAAATCATTCAGAAACCAACTAAGAAAACGAGCAAATTCTTGACATTCATTAGAACGACGGTTACCTAGAAATTGAGCCCTGTGTTTTTGATAATTAGTTTCGACTCGTTTAGACTATCTTATTCGGAAATAATCTAGTATACTCCTAGAGGTGACGTTCATTAGGATTTGTTTTTTTTATTTCCTAAAACGTCTCCTACTTATATTGGTCGCACTCTGTTTGTTGAGGCTGATTGCAACATTGTTTGAGGGCAGTTGGCTTCAGCAAGACTTCTAACATACGGTGACGAATACTAGGGTGTACTTCGGATGAATTTAACAATTTTCTCTTTGCTGTTAACAAAGCTATCTCTTGTTTGTTATGTGATGCCATTTTAAGAGTCAAGTTAAATAGTACAAAATTCGATTCAATATCCGCTGTAGAGAACGGTACCAAGGGTTTGTCATTTATTCTTGCTGACCAGCTTGTTACAAATGATCCTGTTACAACTCCAATATCCGGAGCGTACCACAAAAACGACGTTATTGCAAGTTCTGACAGTTGTACTGGTTACCGCGATTGTCCTCTCACAGCCATCAAATCGAATTTCAATTCCAATTAGACACCTTACCGGTTGATTGTAATTCTAGTTTTGGATAAGAAGCTACTTCTTTTCTATATCTTCGTTTCTGTACAAAGCAACAGTATGTAATCCTCGCGCATCATCGTCGACCTGGCGCTTCATCGTCGATATTCTCAAAACTTTCGATTTTTCGTCTTCTCTACATTCTATCCATTAAAAGAAACATTCGAAACTTGGTTGCTTTGAAAAAAAACTTCCTTCCTGGCGGTGAATTCAACTTACCAGGTTTTGATTGGAATTATTATTTATGAAACGATTATTAAACAAAACCAAACGAGTATTCTTTTCATATGCGACGATGCAAATTCAAAATTTGCTCGATCTTGAACCAACTCAAAAAAGCGAGAAAATTCTTGTCACTTTTTTGACTGATGGTTATCTGGAAATTGAGCCGTGTTTTTGATAATAACTTTTCCAATCACCAAGGTGCTGGGGTAACTTTCTCAAAGCAGACATAATCTGAAGCAATTCCGCCTGCTTGATCATGATTTTTTTTTACTTTACTCATTTCCTTTTGACTTTAATTACTTCCTGGTTTTCAAGAATAATGCTATGATGCTTCACTTTACCCTGATGCTTTACTTTACTTGAAAACTTCGGCATACTTTATCTACCCTAAATAGCAGCCGTGTTGAGTCTATCTGCTTAAGCTTGAAGGGAAAAAGAGCCAATCTCTTTCGTTACACTACAGTTCCTCTTCTGACACCTGATGAACAAACTTCATTCAAAAAGAAAATTTCTCTAATTTTCTGATGATAGTTCTCCAAGTCGTGAACTTAAAACTTTAGAGCTTGATAAAACTTGTTTGCTCTGCTTATTGGAACTTTGGATGCAAGCAACTCCTTTGAAGTTCTACGGAGTACTTCCAACCAGTCCTCAAAACCTGTCATTTTGTTTTGGGGATCGTAATAACTCAGAAATACTGTTTCAGACAAAACAAATCTATTCAATCGCTTTTTTGCCTCAGTTTTCAAACAGTAGTCCAGTTCTTGTGATGTGACGCTGCTTTATACTTAGTCCTCAATTCTTTTAAACACAATCAAAAAATCGTTTCATAAAGGAATCCATTTCTTATGCTCTTCAAATGATTCCTTATCTGGTCTTCGCGACATTGTACCTCTCGCACCTCTTAAGATTTATTCAAATCAACTTTGTCCGTTGGTTATTGCTCTTTACCAAGATGTTTCCAAGCGCAAGATCTGGCCTGACAATTGGAAAACTACATAAATTAAGCTTATGCACAAGAAAAACAATCATAGCGATGTTACTAATTACTGTCGAATTAGTTTGTTACCGAAGTCATCGCTCGTTTTGGAAAAACGATCATACTTATTTGGAAATCAGAGAGAGTTTCAAGTTCACATTATGCTTTCATGTCTCGGAGGTCAACTGTAACTCAGCTGTTGAAGTGCTATGATAAAGTTTTTGAAGTAGATGAAGGTAGTATTTCATGCATTGTGCTTCGATTCAGTACGTTATGACCGGCTCTTAAAAAAACTAGCGTCATTTGGCTTTGATTTGAGCTCTTATAATTAATAAAAAATTTTTTATCCAATTGCTTCCGCAGCGTTCGAATTAACGACGTATTATCCGAAATAAAACGCCGCAGTAACTATTCGCGTACCCCAAGGCAGTAATCCTGGACCTTTGTTTCTCTTACTGTTTATAAATGGCCTTACCGAGTCATTGCAGGATTCTTCTTTTCTTAAGGATCTCAAAGGCTGCAGCGTTGATCCCGTTGGTTTACAAATTGATCTGTTGACTCTATAGCAGTGGCGTTACTAAAACTCGCTTGATTCACATCCTGAGAGTCTGTTTAAGTTACATTTGTTAAGTAAGTCTGTATATAAGTTGTAATCTTCACATTCTAACTTATGCTTCTCATTTTTGATTTCCGAACAAAAAAGATCTTAAGCTAGAGTCTTTCGATAAACGATGCTTTAAACGGATTGTGATGACTGGTGATTATAACTGGTTTTTCTTGTGCTTGAATATTTTCCCGATTTGTTATAATCCTGTTCAATTCATAAAACATAATTAAATCATGACCAATTTTTTTTTTTTGACCGGATTGTCAGATGGGTCAACCAGCTCAAAATTGATGCTCGATGTCCTTTTTATGAATGAAAAAAGAAAGTTCAGTTGTTCTACAGGAAAAGGTTGATGACTTTTATTCGGAGCGTATGCTGTACTTGGTTAGCAAACTGTAACTGCCTTTATTGTCGATCCTTATTTCGTAAGGTTTTTTAAAAGTTTTTGGGGTAAATTAAGCCCTTCTGTCTGTCTGTCTGTCTGTCTGTCTCTCTTTCTCTCTCTCTCTCTCTGTCTCTGTCTCTGTCTTTGTCTCTGTCTCTCTCTCTCTCTCTCTCTCTCTCTCTCTCTCTCTCTCTCTCTCTCTCCCTTTCCCTTTAACTCTCGATCTTCCTCTCCCTCTCCCTCTCCCTCTCCCTCCCCCTCCCCCTCAACCTCCCAGATATTTTTCCGTTTTGAGCACTGTGTTTTGTTGTATATTAGACAGCCATAAAGTGTTTTTGAATTCAATATTAATTTTTTAAGTATTGCAGACAAAATTTTCAAGGCAAGACATGATTATCAAAAGCAAGAGTTGAAACTCGAAGAAAACAAAGTAGATATCAAGAACATGCTTTCAACTCATACTTAAACTTGAATCTCATCAGAAAATTGATGGTTAAGAAAATTTATAATGTTTCAAGTCCAGCTACTTGATGCTACAAAGAGCAACACTTGCACTTGCAATGAAAGTTGCTTACAAGGAAAACAAGATGTGTTCTGTGGCAACTAAACAGACAAAATTTAAGCAGAATAACAGAAGTCAAACAATTTAATTTTTAACGAAATTTTGTTTCAGTTGCATACATACTGACAAAAAAAGGTCCGGCCGAGAGCCGAACTCCAGACTTTAGGGTACAGAGGCGACTGCGTAAGCTCAAGGCCAAGTGGGAAGGAACCTGGAAGTTAAAAAAAGACGAGTAAGAAATTTGTCTCCTGGAACTAGTCTTGTTCTCGATTTCAAGACACTTGCTCTCGCAAGTCTAATAAAACCTGAATTTGTCGAACAGGAATTTTTAACCGCGAAACAACGCAATATATTTCCATTGTGCCATAAAACATAAACCGAAACCGTGAAATAAAAAAAATATAAAAAAACGCATTGTTAAAAATCTCTCGGTAAAATGATTTAAAAAACCTTCAACAAGACTAAAAAGCATTGTTATAAATGACTTGGTAAAATGATTTAAAAAACCTTCAACAGGTGTCTTCAAAAAACATAACCAAATAAAACAATGGGAAAAATGGTCATTAAAAAAGGGAAAAGAACCGACTGAAACTAGACCGAAAACCACGAATCCGAAAAATATCATCATTTTCCAAGAAAAAAATTTTGGAAAAAAAAGTAACACCGGAAAAGGACTACACCTGATTACTACCTAAATGAAGCTAGTTTTATCAGAATTTTCGAGAAATTGAGCATGCTTGAAACTTACCATTCCTACACATTTGACCATTCTGTGCCGTAATTATTTGCGGGAAAAAGACTAGTAGCCGATTGCAATACCCTTGCTTATCGCAAGGGTAAAAAGTAAATTAGACAAGAAATCAAAAACTTCAAACCAGAATTGCTCGAGTGGGAAAACTTCTTCAAAACTTTTTAATGCCGTTCGAATCACAACTAACAGGTCTTTAATATGTATCACTTGGGTAAAACGTTACCCTTGGGTTTTTACCCTCTGTATCACTTGCGTTTTTTTCAGTTTATCTTATATCTAAAAATTATCCGCCTATTACAAATTAGAAGAAAAACCAAAATTTTCGAATCGAGTTTTCTCGACACTGGGTAAATTACTTGGAAATTATGAAATGTTCAAATCAACCGAATACAAAATTCCGCCCAATTTTCAATGGTTGGAACAACAACATTATTATCGTTAAACAATAACTACACGACCTGCGTCATTTCATGAATTTTTCGATTCGACCTGAGATTCGCAGTATAACTTTTCAGCTATATGCTCGAAACCAGTAAACTTATTCACGCGGCAGCATTACTCCACGTGTGCCATAGAAAAAATTGCAAGAAACCACTTTCCTGTCTCGAATTTCTGAAATTGTTGGATAATTTTATAAGCGCATTATATACTTGAATGAAGTAAACAATTTGAGAAAATGGAAGAGATAATAAAAGGAAAAAATTTGGAGGGTAATTTGAAACGGAAATTGAACGGAAGAAAAATCTGTATATTGACTCATCAATTTTAATCGAGTTTGCTTTTTTTCTCGGGAATTTGGCCGCCGACGTCGTCTGTAATTTCAATTTTTACAGAAGCTGGCGGCGCATGGTGTTTCAATAACTGCAAGGGCGGTTTCATCTGCGAAGCTCCCTGTGGCTGATTGCTATAATCTTGCTCCTGACAACTTGCTCCATTAATTGCACTAAGCTCACCGCTGCTATCATTTTCCCGCTTCATGAGGGGACGTTCTCTGGTCAATGAAGTCAGTGGTTTCAAAGGAGTCAGGGGCGGCGCTGCTGCTGTTACTGCCGGTTTAGTGGTCATAACTTGTTCCTTTTGTGAATATGTGACTGCCCGTTGTTCCGCCACCGATCGCACATTCACAGGCGCTAATGCTGGTGTTAGATTGGGTAGAGGAGGCGTGGTGTCCAATACAGAAGGAGTTGGAAGTGGAGGCAGCTTAGTTTTAAGACCCAATACTTTCTCCGTTTGATTCATGGCTATTAGTCGAAGCGCATGCTGGGCGCTAGTTGTTATGTCCTAAGTAACAAAAAAAGAGCTCCCATTAGACCAACTGGGCATACATAAATCGATGATCTCCCTCTTAACCCTACTTGGCGGAGCATATCTGGTTTTGTTCACTCACCTGACAGTCCTGTTGCTCTACATCTTTGGCCGCATTCACATTATTCTTCTCGCATGGGTCATACACACCATTATGAGCAGGTAGCAGAACTGCAGCAGATACTATCTCGAAGAACCTTCTCAGCAGCTCTCCGGGACCCATTTCATGAGCGACCGTTCGCAGTGCCTTGTCACACAGCAATTCGATCACGTAGACTGGGAACACATGCCATGTTGGTATACGCCGCTTCAGATCCCTCAGACACCTTAGCACCACGATCAATGACGAATTGAGTTTCGATTTGGAGTCGAACCACTTCGCACGGCGCATTTCGGCCAGCGATAGATTGCACAAGTCTTTGTCTAGCATCTTAGGGGGATCGGTGGTGGGATCTGGGTCTTCGCGTACGGCTGGTGATGTTATGTTTACGGCACAAGTATATCCTAAATTTTTAGCCTTTATGTTAATGCAGCAGTCTTGAATGCGCAGCGTGACCTCAAATTCTTCGTTTTCAAAAATATTAACTTGAGGGATCTTTTCAGACACTAATGTGTGGATGCTCATAATTATTTTCTGATCCGGTTTCTTAGCACATAGCACCACTAGTTCGAATGCAGTTTCCCCCTTCAGCGAGATGCCTTTGGCGAAACAGCCGATACGCATCACAGCCTTCAGATTCTTCTCCGCACTGTTGTTTGGAGCACACATACATTCTGACACCAGTTTGAGAGCGCTCTCAATCACCGACAGGAACTGATCGGCCAACTAAACATGCAACGTCACTGACCTATATCGACTAAACACTACAAAAATAACATAGCTACACAGAGGCGAAGCTGAGCTTTGCACCACTTGAGATACAACACAAGAAAAAAAATCGAAAATGTCGAAAAAACAATCTATCAAAATGAATCAGGGAATATTTTTTCAAATTGAAGGAAAAAATAACGCATTTAAGTTCTTTGACATTCGAGGAACAGTTATGATTGTCATTTTTTACGATAAAATTAAGTCAACTAGAGAAAACTGGAATCAACGGTAAAGTTCATATTTCGCTGGGAAATCTGAAAATTAAAATCCACTTTCGAAATTTTAAGTCGATTACATTTTTCATGACCTTTACACATTTCTGCTTTTCTATACTGGAGTTTGCCTTCCTTCCCAAGTGAAATGAAGTGAACTTGAGAAACAAAAAGTCAAACGGCGAAAAGCCAAATTGGAATTTGAACAAAATAAGACTTTTCCTGAAAAAAAAATATCACAATCTATATATAAATTTATATTTTGTTAGCCCCCGGCCTGCTCAGTGCAGGACTAACCGTGCAGGACAAACCCCGAAAAAACAAATATGAGCACGAACAAAAAATAGACTTTTCTCAGAAAAAATAAACAACAAATCATCACAACCTATATAAGAGTCTTGGCTTCGTTCATTGACTCTTAAAACAAAAGAAGGGTTAAAGCTGCACTTCTCAAACAAGCCAAAAGTCTCTCTAGAGAGGTCCAATGAAACGCCACTAAGGAAAACGCAAGGAAAATCAGAAATATAAATTGCAAAAAAAAAGAATTTATTTCTCCGGTATACATATGATATGATACATCAAAACAAATTACAAAATCAAATTGACAATTTTTTTTCGTTATGCTCAATTATAATCAACAGAACACCGTGGAGAGGACAGGCTAAAGGCACGCTTAGGTGCCCTATTAATACCTACCCTTAAAATTAAATTATTTCCACAAACAAAACAAAAAACTTTTTTTTGTTAAATGATTTTAATTTTTCTTCTTTCTTTTCTTCCTATATTTCTTCCAGGAATAAGACGCCCACTGCAACAATAAACAAACATATCTACCACAAACTACAAACACACCTATCTAAAACTAAGCTTCCTAGGATGATAGAAGGAAAAAATTAAAACATCGATTATCAAATTGATAAATCATAAAAACATCGAAGTCTCGAAAACTATTTTCTCAGGATAGATTCGACACCCTACGTCTATTATCTATCAGCATCTAAATACGGGTTAAAAAACCAAAATAATAAATTGAATTGTTCATTATATAGCGGGCGGGTAAGTTCTGAATTTCCTAGAAGATAATTGTTTTTTAATTTGTGCACAAACAAAAATTTGCTTGCTATTCATTTGTCCAAAATTATCTGTTGTTACACAATTTTCGCATTAAACAATGAGAAGCTTTGCTCCATGGTTCTGGATTGATGCAGATTTGATTTTTTTGAAGCACGCTGGTTTTTTAAAAGCTTGAAGTGATGATGTACAGGTATTATATGCAAAATCACTTTCTGTAAATAAATGATTCAAAAAACTTATCGAATGCATTTTTTTCACAACTGATCAAAGGCAAAATTTTATTAGATCGTATCCATAAAGTTCAAGTACCGACAAAATCTTATTATTTTGAAATTCATCTGAAATAAATCATTTTGATCAGTTTCTTTTGATTTAGAAAAATTTCGTTCGAACTCAAAAAAGACGTACATTCCTAAGCAACAAACCAAATTGTATACTTAGTTGAACGTAAGCATTATGATATTTAATCATAACTGCTCTGGGTACAAAATATCTCAATTTGGAAAAAAAACATCGCAATGGCTACCTAGTGTCGATTTGATTTTTGCAATATGACTTTTGAAAATTAATTTATTGTCTACAATAATACCTTAATACTTACACGACTCTTTAGGACACAAACGATATTACCTGGAGCAACATGCAGATTTTATTTTTGAAAAAACTATTCAACGAAGTTTTATCTGTATTTAGTGTTAATTAGCGTTTAATGCACCGCCGGTGCCTCGAATTTTTTAGACAGCTCATGAAAAACCGCATATAAATTTGAAGCAAAATCTGCAAACTTTTAGTGTACTCTAACTGCACCGAATTAGAGGGTTGGTAATTTCAAAATTTGTAACTTTTTTAATTCCCATTTTGAAAAACCATAAAAGCGTCATCTTGAAAACTTAACTAGCCTCTGGAGAAATTTGGAGGCCAGATTTGCAACCACTGAGAGCCTCTGATAGCACCCCACTATACGGTTGGGAATTTCAAATTTCATGATTTTTTTTTACATAAGATTCCCGACAAAAAGTGAATAAATGATGAAAAACGTCTTATCTCGGAAACTAAAAGGATTTGAGCATTCATATTTAGAGATAAAATTTGAGACGCCTGGGTATACGCTGACATTAAGGTTGTGTCTTCATCAAGTTGGTAGTTTCAAATTTTGCGAATTTCTTTGTAGATAATTTCTTGGAGAAATTTTGAAAAAAAAATCAAAAACGTCACATCTCGGAAACTTAAAGGCTTTTAAAATCAGCGCTACACCCTGAATGTTCCGATTACCTTGAGTCGTGTCTGAAGCAGGATTTGGCAGAATTTTTGCAGTTTTTTTTATTTCTGTTTAAGTTCGATTCAAATTCATTTGCTAAAAAGAAGGCAAATTTATTCTCAAGTAACAAAAGTGAAATTGGCGCAAAAAATGCGTTTGTCGTTAGTTTTGGAAGTGTTTTTAATTTTTGAGAATTGCAACAATGTCTATTCACCCAGTGTTCAACCCAGTTTTCTCTAATTGTGTTGTTTTTATGAACAAAAGGTCACTCATCACAGATAATTGAAATTGAAAGAGCTTGAGCAGTCGCATGCGGCAAGATTTGTAACTCCTGAGAGTGCCCAGAGAGCAGTCAATTACAAAGTTAGGAATTTCAAACTAAGAAAAAAAAACTTTCTGAAATTTTTGAAAAAAAATCACAAAAATGTCATATCTCGAAAACTACAAGGCTTTGAACAGTAATATTTGGAGGCAAGATTTGCATCACTTTAGAGTACCCTGACAGCACCCAACTACAGGTTTGGGAATTTCAGCTTTTGCGAAAAAAATTAATATACGCTTTCTGGAAAATTTATGAAAAAATCACAAAAAACGTCATATCTCGAAAACAACAAAGATTTGAGCAGTCATAATTGGAGCCAATATTCGGAATCCTTGAGAGTACTCTGGCAGAACCCAAATACAGGGTTGCGAATTTCTGCTTTTGCGAAAAGAAAACTAAAATACCTTCTCTGAAAATTTTTTGAAAAAATCACCAAAAAAGTCATATCTCGAAAAATTCAAGGATTTGAACAGTCATTTTTGGAAACAACACTTGCAACAATTTAGAGTACCCTGACAGCACCCAACTACAGGTTTGGGAGTTTCAGCTTTTGCGAAAAAAATTATAAACGTTTTCTGAAAAACTTTTGAAAATATCACAAAAAACGTCATATCTCGACAACAAAAAAAATTGAGCAGTCACAATTGGAGGCAAGATTCGGAATCTTTGAGAGTACTCTGGAAGAACTCAAACACAGGGTTGGGAATGGCAGCTTTTGCGAAAAAAAATTTTATAAGTTCTTTTGAATATTTTTTAAAAAAATCACAAAAAACGTCATATCTCGAAAAGTACAAGAATTTGAACAGTCATATTTGGAGGCGAGATTCGGAATCATTGAGAGTACTCTGGCAGAACCCGACTACAGGGTTGCGAATTTCTGCTTTTGCGAAAAGAAAACTAAAATACCTTCTCTGAAAATTTTTTGAAAAAATCACCAAAAAAGTCATATCTCGAAAAATTCAAGGATTTGAACAGTCATTTTTGGAAACAACACTTGCAACAATTTAGAGTACCCTGACAGCACCCAACTACAGGTTTGGGAGTTTCAGCTTTTGCGAAAAAAATTATAAACGTTTTCTGAAAAACTTTTGAAAATATCACAAAAAACGTCATATCTCGACAACAAAAAAAATTGAGCAGTCACAATTGGAGGCAAGATTCGGAATCTTTGAGAGTACTCTGGAAGAACTCAAACACAGGGTTGGGAATGGCAGCTTTTGTGAAAAAAAATTTTATAAGTTTTTTTGAATATTTTTTGAAAAAATCACAAAAAACGTCATATCTCGAAAAGTACAAGAATTTGAACAGTCATATTTGGATGCGAGATTCGGAATCGTTGAGAGTACTCTAGCAGAACCCGACTACAGGGTTCCGAACTTCTGCTTTTGCGAAAAAAAAATTAAAATACCTTTTCTGAAATATTTTTGAAAAAACCACAAAAAAAGTCATATCTCGAAAACAACAAGGATTTGAGCAGTCATGAATTTATTAAACAACTGAGGATAATAAGCAGTAGAACAAACGTAGACACAAGACAATTGATAAGAGTAGGCTTGTCATGAGATGTGTCTACGTTCGTTCTACTGCTTATTATCCTCAGTTGTTTAATAAATTCATGAGTTGCTTCCTTCTCGGATCATCAGAATCATCTATTGAAGAAAATCTAAATCTAGCAAAGAAGGTCGAAGGTGCGATATCAAATTCAGTTAATGCGTTGATCCCAAAGTTGCTTGATGACATCGAAGTGCAAACCAAGGAAGTTACAAAATTGGCGATAAGCAAAATCAAAAGTGAAAGATCTGTGTAAAGGACGAAATATCTCACAACGAAAAGAATGTCAATCTCAAAACACTGTCGGAGTCTGAGTTGTTAGAGAATTACAACCGCAGGGATAATGTGAAAATCCTCGGGCTCAAAGAAACAAATAACGGGCAAAGGGAGATGATGGAAACAACAATTAAAAAAGTTGTTGACATAAGCGATGCACTAGAGGCCCAAATATCAGAGAACGATATATCCATTGCGCATAGGCTACCATCTCGAAACTCCGGCAACAAGCCAGTAATTGTTAGATTTGCCAGAAGAATGA